GATGGGGCTGGGACCAGCTGGGATGTTGTGGGATGCAGCTGGGATTGTGCTGGGTTGTACTGGGATGTGCTGGGATGTTGTGGGACGCAGCGGCTGGGATGAGATGTGCTGGGATCATCCTTGGACATACTGGGGTGTTGTGGGATGGTGTGGAATGGTGCTGGGATGTGCTGCGAAGTGGTGGGATGTTCTGGGATGCAGTGGCTGGGATGAGATGTGCTGGGATCATCCTTGAACATGCTGGGGTGTTGTGGGATGGTGCTGGGATGATGTGGGACGGTGCTTGGACATGCTGGGATATTGTGGGATGGTGCTGGTGTGTGCTGGGATGGTGCTGGGATGTTCTGTATTGTGTGGGATGTGCTTGAATGGTGCTTAGATGGTGCTGGGATGCTGAGTGCCAGCCAGCTGCCCACGTGGCATCTCTGCAACTTGCATATCTCTGCTACGCAGCTGCGTAGATGGCAGCGTGTGATGGAAAGTTCTCCTCAGGCTTTGGGTGCAGAAGTGCCTGCAGGGAAGGCCGGGCCAAAATCCTTGGCTGCCTCCCGTGCTGGAGCCCCACAGGCGTCCCAGGGGTGGCTGTTGTCTCTATTGACTTCACCAAAAAGACCATTTGGTTCAATCCTTTGTTTGTCTGAAATGTATTTTTGTGCTTTGTGTTCAGGTCCTGAGAGACAGAAAGAGGCATGGAGAATTGGAGAATATCCGCAGAGGCTCTGCCATGTCGTGAAGAAAATGGTGAAGGAGAAGGCAGCACAGGGTGGGTGTCTTTCTGTCTGTTCACTGAAGGACTGGGGAAGCAGAGTTTCTAGATAGGTACGTGGATGGGATACAGGTGCTGGGATGGTTCTGGGATGTGCTGGGATGTGCTTGAATGGTGCTGGAACGTGCTGGGATGGTCCTGGTTGTGCAGGGATGGTGTGGGATGATGCTGGGATGATGCTGGGATGTGCTGGGATGTGCTGGGATGTGCTGGGATGGTGTGGGAACTTGATGGGATGGTGTGGGATGATGCTGGGATGATGCTGGGCTGTTGCTGGCATGTGCTGGGATGGTGCTTGGATGGTTCTGCGATGGTGCTGGGATGGTGTGGGATTGTGATGTGATTTTGCTGGGGTGTTGCTCAGATGTACTGGGATGTGCTGGGATGTACTGGGAAGTTGTGGGTTGGGGCTGGAATGTGCTGGGATATGCATGGGACATAGTGTGATATGCTGGGATGCTGCTGGGATGTGCTGGGATGTGCTGGGCTGGGGCTGGGATGGTGCTGGAATGTGATGGGATATGCTGGGATGTGCTGGGATGGTGTGGGGTTGTGATGGGATTGTGATGGGATGTTCTGGGAAAGTGTGGGATGGTTCTGCGATGGGCTGGGATGTTCTGGGATGTGTTACGATGTGCTGGGATGATGCTGGGATGTGCTGGGATGATGTTGGGGAGTGGAGGGCTTGGGCTGGGCAGTGGCTGGGATGTGCTGGATGGTGTGGGCTGTTCTGGGATGTGCAGGAATAGTGCTGGAATGGTGCTGGAATGGTGCTGGGATGATGCTGGGATGGTGCTGGGATGTGCTGGGATGTGCTGGGATGGTGGTGGGAAGGTGTGGGATGGTTCTAGGATATGCTGGGATGTGGTGAGCTTGCGCTGGTATGTCCTGGGATGGTGCTGGTATGTGGCTGGGACGTGCTGGGATGGTATGGAATTGTGTGGGACGTGCTGGGTTGTGCTGGGATGGGGCTGGGACGTGCTGGGTTGTTGTAGGATGGTGCTGCAATGTACTGGGATGTTGTGGGATGCAGCTGGGATGGTGCTGGTTTGTTCTGTGATGGTGTGGAGGATGTGTGATGCGGCTGGGAGGTGCTTGAATGGTGTTGGGAAGGTGCTGGGATCGTGTGGAATAGTATGGGATGTCTAGGTTGTGCTGGGATGAGCTGGGATGTGCTGGGATGTACTGGGATGGTGCTGCAAAGGTGTGGGATGGTTCTGGGATATGCTGGGATGCGGTGGTCTTGTGCTGGGATGTCCTGGAATGTGCTGGGACGTGCTGGGGTGTGCTGGGTTGGGGCTGGCATGTGCTGGGATGGTGCTGGGTTGTGCTGGGATGTTGTGGGATGGTGCTGGTATGCGGCTGGGATGTTGTGCGCTGGTGCTGTGAATGTGCTGGGAAGGTGATGGGCAGGTGGTGGGATAGTGTGGAACTGTGTGGGACGTGCTGGGTTGTGCCAGGATGGGGCTGGGACCAGCTGGGATGTTGTGGGATGCAGCTGGGATTGTGCTGGGTTGTACTGGGATGTGCTGGGATGTTGTGGGACGCAGCGGCTGGGATGAGATGTGCTGGGATCATCCTTGGACATACTGGGGTGTTGTGGGATGGTGTGGAATGGTGCTGGAATGTGCTGCGAAGTGGTGGGATGTTCTGGGATGCAGTGGCTGGGATGAGATGTGCTGGGATCATCCTTGAACATGCTGGGGTGTTGTGGGATGGTGCTGGGATGATGTGGGACGGTGCTTGGACATGCTGGGATATTGTGGGATGGTGCTGGTGTGTGCTGGGATGGTGCTGGGATGTTCTGTATTGTGTGGGATGTGCTTGAATGGTGCTTAGATGGTGCTGGGATGCTGAGTGCCAGCCAGCTGCCCACGTGGCATCTCTGCAACTTGCATATCTCTGCTACGCAGCTGCGTAGATGGCAGCGTGTGATGGAAAGTTCTCCTCAGGCTTTGGGTGCAGAAGTGCCTGCAGGGAAGGCCGGGCCAAAATCCTTGGCTGCCTCCCGTGCTGGAGCCCCACAGGCGTCCCAGGGGTGGCTGTTGTCTCTATTGACTTCACCAAAAAGACCATTTGGTTCAATCCTTTGTTTGTCTGAAATGTATTTTTGTGCTTTGTGTTCAGGTCCTGAGAGACAGAAAGAGGCATGGAGAATTGGAGAATATCCGCAGAGGCTCTGCCATGTCGTGAAGAAAATGGTGAAGGAGAAGGCAGCACAGGGTGGGTGTCTTTCTGTCTGTTCACTGAAGGACTGGGGAAGCAGAGTTTCTAGATAGGTACGTGGATGGGATACAGGTGCTGGGATGATGCTGGGATGATGCTGGGATGTGCTGGGATGTGCTGGGATGTGCTGGGATGGTGTGGGAACTTGATGGGATGGTGTGGGATGATGCTGGGATGATGCTGGGCTGTTGCTGGCATGTGCTGGGATGGTGCTTGGATGGTTCTGCGATGGTGCTGGGATGGTGTGGGATTGTGATGTGATTTTGCTGGGGTGTTGCTCAGATGTACTGGGATGTGCTGGGATGTACTGGGAAGTTGTGGGTTGGGGCTGGAATGTGCTGGGATATGCATGGGACATAGTGTGATATGCTGGGATGCTGCTGGGATGTGCTGGGATGTGCTGGGCTGGGTCTGGGATGGTGCTGGAATGTGATGGGATATGCTGGGATGTGCTGGGATGGTGTGGGGTTGTGATGGGATTGTGATGGGATGTTCTGGGAAAGTGTGGGATGGTTCTGCGATGGGCTGGGATGTTCTGGGATGTGTTACGATGTGCTGGGATGATGCTGGGATGTGCTGGGATGATGTTGGGGAGTGGAGGGCTTGGGCTGGGCAGTGGCTGGGATGTGCTGGATGGTGTGGGCTGTTCTGGGATGTGCAGGAATAGTGCTGGAATGGTGCTGGAATGGTGCTGGGATGATGCTGGGATGGTGCTGGGATGTGCTGGGATGTGCTGGGATGGTGGTGGGAAGGTGTGGGATGGTTCTAGGATATGCTGGGATGTGGTGAGCTTGCGCTGGTATGTCCTGGGATGGTGCTGGTATGTGGCTGGGACGTGCTGGGACGTGCTGGGATGGTATGGAATTGTGTGGGACGTGCTGGGTTGTGCTGGGATGGGGCTGGGACGTGCTGGGTTGTTGTAGGATGGTGCTGCAATGTACTGGGATGTTGTGGGATGCAGCTGGGATGGTGCTGGTTTGTTCTGTGATGGTGTGGAGGATGTGTGATGCGGCTGGGAGGTGCTTGAATGGTGTTGGGAAGGTGCTGGGATCGTGTGGAATAGTATGGGATGTCTAGGTTGTGCTGGGATGAGCTGGGATGTGCTGGGATGTACTGGGATGGTGCTGCAAAGGTGTGGGATGGTTCTGGGATATGCTGGGATGCGGTGGTCTTGTGCTGGGATGTCCTGGAATGTGCTGGGACGTGCTGGGGTGTGCTGGGTTGGGGCTGGCATGTGCTGGGATGGTGCTGGGTTGTGCTGGGATGTTGTGGGATGGTGCTGGTATGCGGCTGGGATGTTGTGCGCTGGTGCTGTGAATGTGCTGGGAAGGTGATGGGCAGGTGGTGGGATAGTGTGGAACTGTGTGGGACGTGCTGGGTTGTGCCAGGATGGGGCTGGGACCAGCTGGGATGTTGTGGGATGCAGCTGGGATTGTGCTGGGTTGTACTGGGATGTGCTGGGATGTTGTGGGACGCAGCGGCTGGGATGAGATGTGCTGGGATCATCCTTGGACATACTGGGGTGTTGTGGGATGGTGTGGAATGGTGCTGGAATGTGCTGCGAAGTGGTGGGATGTTCTGGGATGCAGTGGCTGGGATGAGATGTGCTGGGATCATCCTTGAACATGCTGGGGTGTTGTGGGATGGTGCTGGGATGATGTGGGACGGTGCTTGGACATGCTGGGATATTGTGGGATGGTGCTGGTGTGTGCTGGGATGGTGCTGGGATGTTCTGTATTGTGTGGGATGTGCTTGAATGGTGCTTAGATGGTGCTGGGATGCTGAGTGCCAGCCAGCTGCCCACGTGGCATCTCTGCAACTTGCATATCTCTGCTACGCAGCTGCGTAGATGGCAGCGTGTGATGGAAAGTTCTCCTCAGGCTTTGGGTGCAGAAGTGCCTGCAGGGAAGGCCGGGCCAAAATCCTTGGCTGCCTCCCGTGCTGGAGCCCCACAGGCGTCCCAGGGGTGGCTGTTGTCTCTATTGACTTCACCAAAAAGACCATTTGGTTCAATCCTTTGTTTGTCTGAAATGTATTTTTGTGCTTTGTGTTCAGGTCCTGAGAGACAGAAAGAGGCATGGAGAATTGGAGAATATCCGCAGAGGCTCTGCCATGTCGTGAAGAAAATGGTGAAGGAGAAGGCAGCACAGGGTGGGTGTCTTTCTGTCTGTTCACTGAAGGACTGGGGAAGCAGAGTTTCTAGATAGGTACGTGGATGGGATACAGGTGCTGGGATGGTTCTGGGATGTGCTGGGATGTGCTTGAATGGTGCTGGAACGTGCTGGGATGGTCCTGGTTGTGCAGGGATGGTGTGGGATGATGCTGGGATGATGCTGGGATGTGCTGGGATGTGCTGGGATGTGCTGGGATGGTGTGGGAACTTGATGGGATGGTGTGGGATGATGCTGGGATGATGCTGGGCTGTTGCTGGCATGTGCTGGGATGGTGCTTGGATGGTTCTGCGATGGTGCTGGGATGGTGTGGGATTGTGATGTGATTTTGCTGGGGTGTTGCTCAGATGTACTGGGATGTGCTGGGATGTACTGGGAAGTTGTGGGTTGGGGCTGGAATGTGCTGGGATATGCATGGGACATAGTGTGATATGCTGGGATGCTGCTGGGATGTGCTGGGATGTGCTGGGCTGGGTCTGGGATGGTGCTGGAATGTGATGGGATATGCTGGGATGTGCTGGGATGGTGTGGGGTTGTGATGGGATTGTGATGGGATGTTCTGGGAAAGTGTGGGATGGTTCTGCGATGGGCTGGGATGTTCTGGGATGTGTTACGATGTGCTGGGATGATGCTGGGATGTGCTGGGATGATGTTGGGGAGTGGAGGGCTTGGGCTGGGCAGTGGCTGGGATGTGCTGGATGGTGTGGGCTGTTCTGGGATGTGCTGGAATAGTGCTGGAATGGTGCTGGAATGGTGCTGGGATGATGCTGGGATGGTGCTGGGATGTGCTGGGATGTGCTGGGATGGTGGTGGGAAGGTGTGGGATGGTTCTAGGATATGCTGGGATGTGGTGAGCTTGCGCTGGTATGTCCTGGGATGGTGCTGGTATGTGGCTGGGACGTGCTGGGACGTGCTGGGATGGTATGGAATTGTGTGGGACGTGCTGGGTTGTGCTGGGATGGGGCTGGGACGTGCTGGGTTGTTGTAGGATGGTGCTGCAATGTACTGGGATGTTGTGGGATGCAGCTGGGATGGTGCTGGTTTGTTCTGTGATGGTGTGGAGGATGTGTGATGCGGCTGGGAGGTGCTTGAATGGTGTTGGGAAGGTGCTGGGATCGTGTGGAATAGTATGGGATGTCTAGGTTGTGCTGGGATGAGCTGGGATGTGCTGGGATGTACTGGGATGGTGCTGCAAAGGTGTGGGATGGTTCTGGGATATGCTGGGATGCGGTGGTCTTGTGCTGGGATGTCCTGGAATGTGCTGGGACGTGCTGGGGTGTGCTGGGTTGGGGCTGGCATGTGCTGGGATGGTGCTGGGTTGTGCTGGGATGTTGTGGGATGGTGCTGGTATGCGGCTGGGATGTTGTGCGCTGGTGCTGTGAATGTGCTGGGAAGGTGATGGGCAGGTGGTGGGATAGTGTGGAACTGTGTGGGACGTGCTGGGTTGTGCCAGGATGGGGCTGGGACCAGCTGGGATGTTGTGGGATGCAGCTGGGATTGTGCTGGGTTGTACTGGGATGTGCTGGGATGTTGTGGGACGCAGCGGCTGGGATGAGATGTGCTGGGATCATCCTTGGACATACTGGGGTGTTGTGGGATGGTGTGGAATGGTGCTGGAATGTGCTGCGAAGTGGTGGGATGTTCTGGGATGCAGTGGCTGGGATGAGATGTGCTGGGATCATCCTTGAACATGCTGGGGTGTTGTGGGATGGTGCTGGGATGATGTGGGACGGTGCTTGGACATGCTGGGATATTGTGGGATGGTGCTGGTGTGTGCTGGGATGGTGCTGGGATGTTCTGTATTGTGTGGGATGTGCTTGAATGGTGCTTAGATGGTGCTGGGATGCTGAGTGCCAGCCAGCTGCCCACGTGGCATCTCTGCAACTTGCATATCTCTGCTACGCAGCTGCGTAGATGGCAGCGTGTGATGGAAAGTTCTCCTCAGGCTTTGGGTGCAGAAGTGCCTGCAGGGAAGGCCGGGCCAAAATCCTTGGCTGCCTCCCGTGCTGGAGCCCCACAGGCGTCCCAGGGGTGGCTGTTGTCTCTATTGACTTCACCAAAAAGACCATTTGGTTCAATCCTTTGTTTGTCTGAAATGTATTTTTGTGCTTTGTGTTCAGGTCCTGAGAGACAGAAAGAGGCATGGAGAATTGGAGAATATCCGCAGAGGCTCTGCCATGTCGTGAAGAAAATGGTGAAGGAGAAGGCAGCACAGGGTGGGTGTCTTTCTGTCTGTTCACTGAAGGACTGGGGAAGCAGAGTTTCTAGATAGGTACGTGGATGGGATACAGGTGCTGGGATGGTTCTGGGATGTGCTGGGATGTGCTTGAATGGTGCTGGAACGTGCTGGGATGGTCCTGGTTGTGCAGGGATGGTGTGGGATGATGCTGGGATGATGCTGGGATGTGCTGGGATGTGCTGGGATGTGCTGGGATGGTGTGGGAACTTGATGGGATGGTGTGGGATGATGCTGGGATGATGCTGGGCTGTTGCTGGCATGTGCTGGGATGGTGCTTGGATGGTTCTGCGATGGTGCTGGGATGGTGTGGGATTGTGATGTGATTTTGCTGGGGTGTTGCTCAGATGTACTGGGATGTGCTGGGATGTACTGGGAAGTTGTGGGTTGGGGCTGGAATGTGCTGGGATATGCATGGGACATAGTGTGATATGCTGGGATGCTGCTGGGATGTGCTGGGATGTGCTGGGCTGGGTCTGGGATGGTGCTGGAATGTGATGGGATATGCTGGGATGTGCTGGGATGGTGTGGGGTTGTGATGGGATTGTGATGGGATGTTCTGGGAAAGTGTGGGATGGTTCTGCGATGGGCTGGGATGTTCTGGGATGTGTTACGATGTGCTGGGATGATGCTGGGATGTGCTGGGATGATGTTGGGGAGTGGAGGGCTTGGGCTGGGCAGTGGCTGGGATGTGCTGGATGGTGTGGGCTGTTCTGGGATGTGCAGGAATAGTGCTGGAATGGTGCTGGAATGGTGCTGGGATGATGCTGGGATGGTGCTGGGATGTGCTGGGATGTGCTGGGATGGTGGTGGGAAGGTGTGGGATGGTTCTAGGATATGCTGGGATGTGGTGAGCTTGCGCTGGTATGTCCTGGGATGGTGCTGGTATGTGGCTGGGACGTGCTGGGACGTGCTGGGATGGTATGGAATTGTGTGGGACGTGCTGGGTTGTGCTGGGATGGGGCTGGGACGTGCTGGGTTGTTGTAGGATGGTGCTGCAATGTACTGGGATGTTGTGGGATGCAGCTGGGATGGTGCTGGTTTGTTCTGTGATGGTGTGGAGGATGTGTGATGCGGCTGGGAGGTGCTTGAATGGTGTTGGGAAGGTGCTGGGATCGTGTGGAATAGTATGGGATGTCTAGGTTGTGCTGGGATGAGCTGGGATGTGCTGGGATGTACTGGGATGGTGCTGCAAAGGTGTGGGATGGTTCTGGGATATGCTGGGATGCGGTGGTCTTGTGCTGGGATGTCCTGGAATGTGCTGGGACGTGCTGGGGTGTGCTGGGTTGGGGCTGGCATGTGCTGGGATGGTGCTGGGTTGTGCTGGGATGTTGTGGGATGGTGCTGGTATGCGGCTGGGATGTTGTGCGCTGGTGCTGTGAATGTGCTGGGAAGGTGATGGGCAGGTGGTGGGATAGTGTGGAACTGTGTGGGACGTGCTGGGTTGTGCCAGGATGGGGCTGGGACCAGCTGGGATGTTGTGGGATGCAGCTGGGATTGTGCTGGGTTGTACTGGGATGTGCTGGGATGTTGTGGGACGCAGCGGCTGGGATGAGATGTGCTGGGATCATCCTTGAACATGCTGGGGTGTTGTGGGATGGTGCTGGGATGATGTGGGACGGTGCTTGGACATGCTGGGATATTGTGGGATGGTGCTGGTGTGTGCTGGGATGGTGCTGGGATGTTCTGTATTGTGTGGGATGTGCTTGAATGGTGCTTAGATGGTGCTGGGATGCTGAGTGCCAGCCAGCTGCCCACGTGGCATCTCTGCAACTTGCATATCTCTGCTACGCAGCTGCGTAGATGGCAGCGTGTGATGGAAAGTTCTCCTCAGGCTTTGGGTGCAGAAGTGCCTGCAGGGAAGGCCGGGCCAAAATCCTTGGCTGCCTCCCGTGCTGGAGCCCCACAGGCGTCCCAGGGGTGGCTGTTGTCTCTATTGACTTCACCAAAAAGACCATTTGGTTCAATCCTTTGTTTGTCTGAAATGTATTTTTGTGCTTTGTGTTCAGGTCCTGAGAGACAGAAAGAGGCATGGAGAATTGGAGAATATCCGCAGAGGCTCTGCCATGTCGTGAAGAAAATGGTGAAGGAGAAGGCAGCACAGGGTGGGTGTCTTTCTGTCTGTTCACTGAAGGACTGGGGAAGCAGAGTTTCTAGATAGGTACGTGGATGGGATACAGGTGCTGGGATGGTTCTGGGATGTGCTGGGATGTGCTTGAATGGTGCTGGAACATGCTGGGATGGTCCTGGTTGTGCAGGGATGGTGTGGGATGATGCTGGGATGATGCTGGGATGTGCTGGGATGTGCTGGGATGGTGTGGGATGGTGCTGCGAAGTGGTGGAATGTTCTCTGATGCAGCTGCTGGGATGAGATGTGCTGGGATGATGCTGAGATGTTCTGTAATGGTGTGGGATGTGCTTGAATGGTTCTTAGATGGTGCTTAGATGGTGCTGGCATGGGCTGGGACATGCTGGGATGTTACTGGGATGGTGCTGGGATTTTACTGAGATGGTGCTGGGATGCGCTGTGATGGTTCTTGGATGTGCTGGGATGGGCTGGGATGTGCTGAGATGGGGCTGGGATTTGCTGGGATGGGCTGGGATGTGCTGAGATGGGGCTGGGATTTGCTGTGATGGTGTGGGAATTTGATGGGATGTTGCTGGGATGTGCTGCGATGTGGTGGGATGTTCTGGGATGCAGTGGCTGGGATGAGATGTGCTGGGATGTGCTGGGATCATCCTTGGACATGCTGGGGTGTTGTGGGATGGTGCTGGTATGTACTGGGAAAGTGCTGGGATGTTCTGTCATGGTGTGAGATGGTGTGTCATGCGGCTGGGAGGTGCTGGAATTGTGCTGGGATGATGCTGGGATTGTGCAAAATAGTATGGGATGAATGGGTTTTGCTGGGATGGTGGTCAGATGTGCTGGGATGATGCTGGTTTGATGCTTGGTTATGCTGGGATCGTGCTGGGATGGTGTGGGATGAGCTAGGATGTGCTGGGATATTCTGGGGTGTGCTGGGGTGGTGCTGGGATGGGCTGGGTTGAAGCTGGGATGAGCTGGGATCACAGAATCACACCGAATCACAGAACTGTAGGGGTTGGAAGGGACTTTCAGAGATCATCGAGTCCAACCCCCTGCCCAAGCAGTTCCCTACACCAAGTCACACAGGTCGGCATCCAGGCAGGTCTTGAACATCTCCAGAGCAGGAGACTCCCCCACCTCCCTGGGCGTCCTGTTCCAGCTCTCCGTCACCTCACTGTACAGAAGTTCTTGTGCATATTTGTGCGGAACTTCCTATGCTGCAGTTTCCATCCATTCCCCTTGTCCTGTCTCCACTCACCACTGAACAGAGTCCGGCCTCGCCGTTCTGCCCCCCACACCTCAGATACTGATAGACCTGGATCAGGTCCCCTCTCAGTCTTCTTTTCTCAAAGCTGAACAGACCCAGTTCACTCAGCCTTTCCTTATAGCAGAGATGCTCCAGGCCCCTCACCATCTTGGTGGCCCTCCGCTGGACTCTTTCCAAGAGATCCCTGTCTGTTCTGTGCTGGGGAGCCCAGAACTGGACGCAGAGCTCCAGATGAGGCCTCAGCAGGGCAGAGCAGAGGGGGGGATCACCTCCCTCGACCTGCTGGCCACGCTCTGTGCAATGCACCCCAGGATGCCATTGGCCTTTTTGGCCACAAGGGCACACTGCTGGCTCATGGCCGACCTGTTGTCCACCAGGACACCCAGGTCCCTCTCCACAGAGCTCCTCTCCAGCAGCTCATCCCCATCCTGTACCGCTGCATGCAATTATTCCTCCCCAGATGCAAGACTCTACACTTGCTTTTGTTAAACCTCATGCGTTTTTTTCTGCCTAGCTCTCCAGCCTGTCCAGCTCTCGCTGAACGGCAGCGCGGCCTTCAGGCGTGTCAGCCAATCCTCCCAACTTGGTATCATCAGCAAACTTGCTGAGGGTGGCCACTATCCCCTCCTCAAGGTCATTGGTGAAGATGTTGAACAATCCCTGTTTTTCCCCTAAAATCTGGGGTATTTTCGCTTAAATCTGGGGTTTACTGCTAGAAATCCCTGTTTTTCCCCTTAAATCTGGGGTTTTCTGCTAGAAATCCCTGTTTTTCCCCTTAAATCTAATGTTTTTCCCCTTAAATATGGCTTTTCCTTTTAATAATCCCAGTTTTTCCCCTGAAATCTGGGTTGTTCTGCTAGATATCCGTTTTTCCTCTGAAATATGAGTTCTTCCCTTAGAAATCCCTGTTTTTCTCCTTAAATCCGTGGTTTTCTCCCAGAAATCCCTGTTTTTCCCCTTAAACCTGGGGTTTTCTCCTACACATCCCCGTTTTTCCCCTTGTGCAAGGATGTGCACAAGTGTGTGTGACTGCACAGCTGTTATGTGAGTGCGTCAGAACGTCCTTGGGGCAGCAGCTCATGGATGCTACTGGACAAATCGGGCCGTGCGCTCTGTGTTGATCTCTATGGTAATGTTTTTTATTGACCACAACCAAACTAGGAATGCCGAGTTGGGCGGCACTCGGAACGCTGCCCTGCAACGCCGCGCACTGCAGCGCTGCCTGCTGATGCTCCTCCTCTCAGTCGTTCAGCTGCAGCTTCTGCATCATCTCCACCAGGCTGTTCATGGCGGAGGACTGGAAAGAAACAGAGCGGGTGTAGAAACAGGACAGAAACAATGTGGGCAGATCTCCTTAAGCAAGGCTGATCAGTGCACTTGCAGAACGGCCCCATGCAGCACAGCCCGTTCCTGCCATTCAGGTCACTGGCGTTACTTCCCACAGCAGCTGCCTATGCTAAGATTCATGCTCTGCTGGGGGAACGAGGTTTGCAAGGTCGCAGTGCCCGACACGGCAAGGCTCTTTATGGCAGCAAAACCCTCCGGCCGTTACCAACGGTGTCCTTCTGAAGGCAGAGGAAGGCACCCAAGCTCCCCTGGGCAGCTCTCACTGACAGCGTGATTTCCTCAGACACACAGCGGGGTGTTTTTCTGTGACATCGCTGCCCTCAGGACATCACAGCATCTTTCACGGCTGTCAGACAGAGGCACTGAGAGCAACAAGAGCCGTGTCTGTGCTCACCAAGGACTCACCTCTGCATGTGCAGCTGCAGCCCTGAGGGAAGCCTTCTTCAGTTGCCCTCTCCTCTCTTTTTGTCGTCGTCTTCTTGCTATAAAGCAAGAATAGAAATGAATTCATTCTGTCGGTAGCAGAACGGTGTAAACAGGGTACCGCAAAAGCAGAAGGCAGAAAAAAGACAGGGGAAATTTGAGCAGGAAGCCTCTCAGTGAATGACATTTCCAGGCGGTGCGGCTCTGCTCCCGTTCCCCGCTCCCCGGAACACCCCGCCCCCGCTCGGGCTGCCGGGCCCTGACCGGCCATCGTTCCGCAGAGAGCTTCCATAAGCGGGAGGAGAAGGCCAAGAAGCGGGGAGGCCACGGCTTCGGCTCGGCTGAGGGCGGCGCTCCGTGAACCTCCGCGTCCCGGCGCCGCGCCCTCGGGGCCGTGCGGGGCTGTGTGAGGTTGTGCGGGGGCGTGCAGGGCCATACGGGGCTGTGTGGGGGGGCTCCGCGGGGCCGTGCAAGGCCCCGTCCTAGAAAATTATTCCGACGTTCCCAACAGCGTGGGGGCTCGTCCGGGATCATGATCGGCCCTTGGGGGTTTCCCCCACTACCCTGGACAGGATAGGTGCACCCCGCTGATTTCCGCGGTCCTGTCTGGGTGGTGAGGTGAGTCCTTGGGACGACCGATAAGAAACCGAGACTGTTCTATCAGGACGGGCTCTGAGAAAGCCAAGGGGCAGGCAGGCACGGCGTGTTGGCCGTTGCGACCCGGTAGCTTCGTGCACATGTGGAAAGTGAAAGTGGTGTTTCTGCGTTGAGCGTTGGAAAGGGCAATTGATCTAAAGAATTAAGCTGCAACATATCCTTAGAAATGGCAAAAGAGCTGATGTGGAAAGTAAAAATACCACAAGCATATTTGTAACACGTTTTAGAAACATAGTTACAGAATCACCTAACAAATACTTTCTGGCAGAGCTGCAATGGATTGTGAATGTTCTAAGCAATATGGGTATATTATTCTGAGCCAGGAAACATTGTAAGGTTGTTCATTAGGCCGGCAGAAGCAAATACATTTCACAGGCTTTCAAGGAGTCAGGGCCTTTACACACAGCAGAAAGAACTGTCCCACTCTGTGGGAATTTTGGGATGCTATAGACAGGCTCCAAGATGCTCCCCTCCATCCTCCTTCCCAGCTTATCTCTATGCAAGGACAAATGAATGACCAGAACAATGACCCAATGTGACGGGGCACAAATGTTAGGGCGTAATTAAACAATTGAGGCTGTGCCTGTGTTTATGTTGTGAAACTGTCATCCAAAAAGTTATGACCAAATGTTGGTTAAGAAAGCAGTTGTCAGAAGTCAACAAACCAATTGAGACGTGTGTGTTTGACAAGCAAAGATTTGTGTCTAGTCGGTGTTTGTCTGATTGGTGAAGCATCGCCAAAGAGTGCGAACCTGCAGCACTCAGCCAGTGAGGGACCAGGGGAGAACGAGATCAGCGGCGGCAATAGAGATAACTGATGGAACGCTGTTTTCTCGGGGCTCTCCTGCTCGCAGGAGGCTGCCATTGCGCTTGCGAATAAAATCTGCTCCATCAGAGAAACCGTCCTAGAAAACTATTTGGATATTTCCAACAATCCCAGGGTGGAACTTTACTGCAGTATGTGGCTGCCACATACCGCCGTGTGGAGTATCCCTCCGAGGGCTTTCCCTCCGAGGGGCTCCTCAGAGCAACGTTTCCATTCTCCAGTCGCCACGGACTTTGCCCAGCAGCCACGACTTCTCTAAGGAGCTGCAGAGCGGCTCGGCGAGCCCAGAGTCGGCCGGCTCCTCCAGCACCCGGCACGCACGGCGCCGGGCCCCAGAGACTTGGCCAAACGCCGCCGTCAGCTGGCCCTGCGACCGCAACAAGTGCGTGCGTTCGGTGCCCTGCCCCAACCCGACCCGGCGAGCGGCGCCAAGCGAGCGGCGCCAAGCGGGCAGCCTCGCCTCTGCCCCTCGCTGGGGCTGCAGGCAGGGCTGTCGCTCTGCCCGTGTCGCTGCGCGATGCCAGGCGTCCATCTCTCTCTCTGA